ATGGGCAGAAGTTGTCGAGAACAACGGCGATTATATTGCTGATTGACGCGGCATGTTTTTGAAAAATAAAGTTGCTTATTGTGTGAGCAGAAAAAAAACGTGCAGAACTTATGTGCCAATGGGATAGTAACGTCTTTGCAAGGCAATTAAAAAGTATCATTAATAACAATAATCCTCAATCAGAAGTACGTGTCTTATACAAAACACCTGAAACTATTAAACGGTAGTTTCCAATTAAGGATAAATTAAACACCGAACAATTATCTGGAGTTGTTTATGATATTAAATGTAATGACTGTCATGGAGAGTATCCTGGTAAAACTATTAGGCAAATGAGTCGTAGAACAAACGAACATGAGAAAGATGTGGATAAAGCTATGATATTCCTCACTAGGGATTTATATCAGAATAAAAATAAACGAAATGCAAAAAAGCAAATAATTAAACCACAAAGTCAAGTTAATTTGCGACGTAGTGATCGTGTTGCTAAGAGGAACGTATCATCAGTTGTTTCAACACAGCTTCCGCCAGTACAAGAAGAGTTTAAACCAAAATCAGCTCTAGGAAAACACGTAATAAAAGCAGGACATTCAATCGGTTTCAAGAATATTTCGATTGTAGAACGAGACAATAATCGTTATCGGTTGTTAGTTAAAGAATCTCTTGCTATCAGATCAAAAGGTCCTATCTTTAATGGTACTGATAGATCAGTTTCACTTCACGTCTTTCCAGAAGGTCATTTCAGTACAAATGTGAAGGGAAGGAAAAAGAAAAAGAAAAAACAGTAACGTTCACGAACAGTTTTCTTGTTTTTCTTTCTGTTTCTTCAGAGACTATATATATATATATAAGTGTGTTAGACAGTTCACTCTATAGGTACATTTTATAACTTGTTATATTTTCTGATGATGAATAAAGTTTATTCGAAAGCTTAATAAGTTTATAAATATGAATAGTTCAGCTGCAATCATACGTGATTCATTGATTAATAAAGTCCTGCCAATGAATTTCTTCACTCGGTTTGAATAATTGTACCTAAAAAGAAAAGAACAACGATGATCGTCGCCTGCCCAAATAAGAAAAATACCGTTACTTATAGCTACTTTATAACCATAAACGGTTATCATACACTGACGATTAGTAAACTAACTTGGTACAGAGTACAAGCGCAAAACTTCTTTAATGAATATATTCTCCATCCATTCCATATTGTGATTAATATCATAATCGAACCGGTTATTTGTTCAAAAATATCAATCAATTTCATCCTGTAATTTAGCTGCTATATCCAGGGCTGCAAAGAACGGAGGGTACAGGAGAGTGCGCGTCCTCGAATAATTGAAAAAGCTGTTGTTATTTTATTAGTTATTTCTCGCACAACAGCTTTTTAGCACTTTCACACTACCGCAGAGAGAAAATTTGTTTTACACTGCTCTATCCCATTGGCACATAAGTTCTGCACGTTTTTTTTCTGCTCACACAATAAGCAACTTTATTTTTCAAAAACATGCCGCGTCAATCAGCAATATAATCGCCGTTGTTCTCGACAACTTCTGCCCA